ATAGAGGTTGATGAAGTTCGAAGAAAGTAATTCTCAGGGATTGATTCTGATTTATTTGAGATTTTACTCCAGCCTACTTCCAGTTGCTGCCATGGAGTTTACTCCTGATTTGCCCCAGTGTAAATGAGAGGTGTACCAGGTCTTTAGTGCCCTAGATTTAAGAATTTCAAAGTTCTTGAATTAACTACTGAGAGGCCTGCTGACAACACACTATTATTGAGAACAGTTAATACATTGCCTTATGTATCAATACACATTAAGCGTCAGTCTTCCTGCTGTTGGAAACACAAGGATCTATAGATGAGGGATAGAACAAGGACTGTAGAGACAGAAGGGAGGCTATGAACTGAGGAAGAAAGAAACTGACTTTTAAAGCTTTATCATTTGTTCGCAATAGCTGTAACCCGGGATGAGATCTGGAACAAAATCTGTGGACTGATCGTACGCCTCTCCGTGGGGGACTCCGTGTCCCAGATACCATAGCACTTGGCATTGCTCTGAGGGCTAGATCTTTGTTTTGAAGAGTGAAAAAGAGAGACCATAGTTTTGGAGAAAATTCATTGACCTGCTGTTCAGAAAGTAATTTGTAGGACCGCCGATGAATAAAGTAGTGCAGGGGCTTGAATGCCATTTTGTGAAAGCTGTGTACTTGGTGGGGGAACTTTCTAAATGAAACCTAATTAGAACACAGCGAATCTGACACATAAGTACAGCTCTTTTAGCAGTCTTCCAAAAAAAGAAAAAAGCTGGTGCCCTGATTTGAAATGTTGACACCTTACAGTACATTTAAATTGCCTCAGAAACAAAGCAGGAAGCATTTGGCTAGCAATGTTTTTTTCATTTAAGTAATGGCAGAGAATTTTCCTGGCAAACTGGATTCCACCAGCACCCATTTTTCCTGTTTTGTAGTTTCAGATTATTCATTACAAGTCAGGGAGTGTGTTTGTGTTAACTGGTCAGGAATTTTTTGACACCAGGTTTCTTTACAGAAAATGCCAAGCTGTTGAAACTTTTCATGGAAATTGTATCTGTTTTGATGAAGGTTTCACTGGGAAAGTTGCTCAGTTTGAGGATGGGATTTCTGGTTAAAATCAGAGAGTGAGACCTCAAAATAGCCAGTGGTCTGTTGGTTAGGGTGCAGGAGACTCAGGTTCAAGTCTTTTCTCTAAATTAGGTAGAGCAGAGATTGGAACCTGCTTCTCCCCTACCCCACATGAATGTGCTGACCACTGAGATAGTGGCTATCCTGGGGTCAGGGCCCTCACTAAAATTTTTCATGAAATGGAATTCCTGATTTCCTGCCAATCCTTCTGAGTGTATCTGATGTTTTCCTTTTGTATGCTATGTCAGAATTTATATCTGATTTCAAGCAATTGGAGTATAAAGAGGCATCTATCTTTAAATGAAAGTTATGATGTACGTAGAAGAACTTTGCCTGCTTACAGAGGCAGCGGCCATTTTCCTCCCTGACAGTCTCTGCAGTCTGTTATATATAGGCTTGGAAGGATTAGATTTTTATCGGTAAATGTTGGTAAACATTGATTTCACAGTTCATACACAAGCCGACGAAAAAAATGTTTCCACTGGTGATGATAGAAAACTACAGATAGGCAAAATAAAAAAAATGCTGCTTGAGAACTTATTGGAGTTTGATTTAAGAATATTTATATATCTGTATTTTTTTATTTGATGTTTGCAATTGGCTTTAGCAGTTATAAAGCTTTAACTTTCTGAATGTCAGTGTCTACTGTTATTACATAATTTTATGCTGCCCCCATGATTTCCTGTCAGTGTGAAAATTTAAATTGATAAAAATAGAAAAAATACTTTAAAATAAACATAGATATCTGTCAAATTTACAAAAAAAAAAATGTAATTTTGCCAAGTCTAGCTGTATACAGAACACACACACACTGTTCTCATCTAGAATCACAAATATGTAGGACTGGAAGGGACCTCAAGAAGTCATCAAGTCCAGCCCCCCCTGTGCTGAGGCAGGGCCAGGTAAACGTAGATGACTATGGAGACTTGTTCCTTCTTGATGTTGTCTTTAACATAACATTGGCCATTTAGACTGTAAGTGTGTAGGTTTTTCTCTGGATACAGAAAAACATAAGAAGAGGATAATAGAGTTGTGGACTGAGCACCAAACAACTGTCAGCGTGACATCATGACATTGTTCTTTTAGTTCAGTTTTTGACTGTGCCTATAGCACACTGAAATGCTACCGAATCTAACTAATTACTTTAGAGATGAATCCTAACCAGAACCATAGGTCCAAAGAATTTTTAAGAATTCTGAACCATTCTGAATTTTTTTCAGTTGGTCCCTTTTGGTGTAATGGATTGAAGCAAAACTCAAGATCCAGACACACCCAAAGGGTTCAAAATTTGAATCTAGAATTTGTATCTAGGGCTGATCTCTAAATTTAATTTATGACTTATGAGTGTATTCGGTTTGTGACTAAGTGAAACAAATACACCTCTACCCCGATATAACGCTGTCCTCGGGAGCCAAAAAATCTTACTGTGTTATAGGTGAAGCCACGTTATATCAAACTTGCTTTGATCCGCCAGAGTGCGCAGCCCCGCCCCCCCAGAGTGCTGCTTTACCGCGTTATATCCGAATTCATGTTATATCGGGTCGCGTTATATCGGGGTAAAGGTGTAGTTAGAAGTAATGAGCAGGGGCCCGTACTGTTGAATTCTCCATTATGCTGACAATATTTTTCTGCAGAAATTGAGAAGTCTCTAATTATATCCCTGACTTTGTATAGTATAATTTGTCTTCGGCATCTTGTTGGTAGTCTGGTTGGTCACCCTGGTGATGCATTAATAGCGTCTAGCCTTGCCTGAGGGTAGAGAAGATAAATGAAGATTAAGGTCTCTGTACCGCACTTTCACTTCAGTGCAGCAGTATAAGAAAGTTAAACCCATGCATGGATAGACCTTTCTGCAGTATTACTGTAGACTACTTTAGTGGACTCAAGCATTTTGGGCAAAAATCATCTTTAAAAAGTAGTAGTGCGGTTGTGGGAGTGAGAGCCAGGCATTTGCAGGGGAGGTAGTGTTTCTCAGTAGATAGATCATTCAACTTGGCTTTAGGAGACCTAGGTTCCATTCCTGTCTTTGTTACTGATCTGTTGTGTGGCTGTGGGCACATCCTTGTGCCTAAGACCTTGTCTACACTACAGAGGGAGATGGATCTAAGTTATGCAACTTCAGCTACATGAATAACGTCGCTGAAGTCGACGTACTTAGATCTGCTTACCGTGGGGACCACACTACGCTATGTTGATGGGAGACACTCTTCCGTCGACTCCCCTTGCACTTCTCGTTCCGATGGAGTATAGGAGTTGACGGGAGAGTGATCTGTGGTTGATTTAGCAGGTCTTCACTAGACCCACTAAATCGACCGCTGATGCATCGATCGCCGCGTGTGGATCCCCCGGTAAGTGTGAACAAGCCCTCAGTGTCGTTCTTAATAAAAGAAACAGAAGTAATTCACAAACAGAGCTCGAATGCTTTGCATTACATCCACTTTTAAACTTTTATTCCCAGGTGACCAAAATAAATAAATCTTCATACAATTACACGTGTGCATCAGCAACAAGCAGTATATTTTCATGAACTGAAAATAAGGATAATGTAACCCCACGTTTTTGTCATGTATAATTAGCACAAATCCATTTTTTGCATGGAGATAAAGGCAAGTTCATGTTCAAATGAGAAAAAAGAAAAGCTGAGAGCTCATTTCTGGTGCAACATGAGGAATGACCAAACATTCTACTGCTTCAGAACGTCAGTATTTGCAGCAACAAAATGATATTGGTACTTGAATAAACAATTTAGCAACATCTGTGCTGTATGGTGTCCGGGGCTTATATTACAGGTTCATTGAGATTACTTAGAACCAATGTCTGAGTTTAATGGGAAACATGCTTCCTTTTCAGAAAGCTAAAAGTTAGATTGTCAGCTCATCTATAAAGTATAGCCATTTGCCCACTGGATTGTTTGATTTATTCTTTTATCAACTTCTGTGGCCTGTGGGTCAGGATCTCAAAGTGGGTCGTGACCCCTTTTTAATGGGGTCACCAGGGCTGGCATTAGACTTGCTGGGACTTGGGTCTGAAGCCAAAGTCCGAGCCCCACTGCCCAGGACTGAAGCCCTCAAGCTTCGGCACCCCCCAGGGCAGCAGGGCATGTCATGTGATGAAACCTCCAGGAATACATCCAACCAAAATTGGCAGCTCTAACATGAGCAGAAACTTAACCGCAGTATTGCTATAGTAACTAACTGACATATATCCTAATATATTTGAAATAATTAATATACTAACGTAAAGAATAAGGACACCCCAACGTCATTAAAATGAAGAAGTGAGTTATGGGCAAAGGAGGCTGAACATTCTTATGAATATTCATAGCAGCCATTTATGGCTAACCACGGCCTAGCGTCTAGACCATTGAGACCTCAACCATTGGAATCGCTTGGCAGGCAGGATATAGGATTGGACTCTTGTGGACCACCACCTGTTTTTCTACCCTGGGTCTACACAAGGATTGTGTGAGTGTGCGTATTACATGGTGCTGGATGTAAAATTAATATTGCATTACTGTTATATTCTGGTTTGGATTGGAACAGGTGTGTGTTTACTAATTGTGTCAATACAACTATTAAAAAATCAAAAGCTTTTTCCTAAGTGAGTGTTGCAACTGTGCACGTTGGGGTTTCCAATTAAACCTTAACCGATTTCCAACTCTCTGGATTCTTGGAACTGAAGCCTGTCAAATCTAGGGTGCTAATTTGTCAGTTGGAGATTTTTAAATAATTAATACACAATCAATAGATCAGACAACATTTCCTGAAGTCTGCATGTTGAATTTGATAACTCTCCTGTTGGAAAGAAAACAAAACAGAACGGTTGCAATTTATTTTGTTCTTGACATTTCGCTGATGCTTCATTTTAAATTGCACTTAATGCGCATTTTGTTTTCCAGAGCAAACATCTCCTTCTATGAGATCTTGCAGATGGACTTTGAAATTGACAATAGCAGTAGCCTGGCAGGAGCTCAGCAAATTACCTGGCAGGTGGAATACCCCAGAGAAGACTTGATGAGCGAACTGGTGGTCTCCGAGATCTTTGTCAGCCAAACAACATTTGCGGGAATTGTTCCTCTTGCAATGGTAAGAAACTGCTTTTTTGTTTGTCAAATGCTTCTTTTGATTCCTTTTAGTATTCACGGAAACATGAACCATTTTTTTAATTTGCTACTTCCTATGCATCTGCTGAAAATGGTTTAAATGCAAAAACTACATTTCAATAATATTTTATTTACCTGATATACCATAATGGCTCCTTGGAAACCATTAGAGTCTATTGCGCAAATTCTTTTCTGTTTGTGGATTATTGGCCTGGTACATAGTAACAGCTCCTTTGGAGCTGTTGTCTTCTGTTGTGTTAATGCGACTGCCGTGCACGCTCACTAAGGCTAAATGCGACAATTAGTTATGACATTTTCATTTAAATAAATTAGCCCACGTGTAGAAAACTTCATTTCTAAGCCAGACAACTGGGCCATATTTTGCTTTGCTTTTCCCCAAAGCACTCAAATGCACTAGACTAAATCACCGACTAGCGGGCTGCAAAATGTCAATTTAATAAAAAACTCATTTTGAGTTATACAGTGGGGACACAAAATCATTTCTAAAGACTTAGATTTTTCGATTTAGAGAGAGGCCCTGTTTTCAAAGTGGGGTGTAATATGTGTGGTCAAAAAAACCTAACCCCCACTTTTTTCATGTAAGTGGCTCCTTGTGTACTCAAATGCAGCTTGGTATAGGGACCTTGGGTGTGACTGTGGGACCTCTGTTTCTAAAACTTTGTGCTGGTGCAAATCAACTGCATTTAAATGTGGTTTCACTGGTGTAAAAGCTGGTGTAACAGAATGGTGAATTAGGCCCTGTCTGCAGAACTTCCTTTGAAAAATTGGCCTAAAGAACTTATGAAGGACTAATTCTTTTTCCGGCTTAATTTGATTTAAAAAAAACCCTCCGTTTTAGACTGAGGACCTGGATGATACATTTCAATGTACTGATAAATTTTAAAGCCCCTCTTCCCCCCCTTGCAGTCCTGAGAAAGGAAGCTAATTTTTATTTTCTTGCTCCTCTACCACCTAATCAACAAAAATCCAAACATCCCTCTCCACAAACATTCCTGTCCTGCTGGGAGAGAAGCAAAGGAGGAAACCAGTAAATACAGACAAGGATCTAGTCAGAACTCTTTTTTTTTTGTATTCTCACTGACAATGTCTAAACTTGCTGGATATCCAGTGATAGAAAAAAAATACAAGTGGGATTTTTTGCAGGGTGATTTTTTGGGAGGCTTTCCTGGAGCATATAAATAAGTGGTCAGTCCACTTAGAGGAGACTGATCAAAACTAAAATTAACTGGATGTGACGTTGTCAATTATTAGTGATGATTCAGGTTGTAATACTAATGTATAGTGAGGGATAAACAATACCACTGTTATACAACACAAGTTGTTTGAAATGGCTCATAAGGTATTTACGCTACTAAGAGTGTGTCGGAGAAAAACACAGTTCTCACTCTTTGGTTGGGTGCAGCAAAGTCAGATACTTTATTATCTCTAGCAATTGCGTGGAGAGGGAGAACTATACAGGTCTCTCTACAGGTAAACAATTACAGCAAGCATTTATACCTTTTGTTACATACAATAAGAAGCAACAGCTGCATTTTGATTATACATAGGTCATCCTGATATCTTATTTTTCTTACTTATTTAGACTCTAGTCTACATTCCATATTATCTACACAAGGTCGCAACAACTTCTCACACAGTTCTTTCCCACTCGCCTCACACAATCCTCGCTTCTACAAGTCTCGCGTTATTAGGGTTACAGTTAGCCTGACTCTTGCTAACAGAGACTGTTTGCATTTAAAATCCCCTTCAAATCCCTGTCAGGCCTTGCTCTGCTTCCACAAGAGCTACCGGTATATAGTAGAGTTGGGTTCAAATCAGCAGCCCACTGCTGAACTTTCAAAGGTGCATAATGTATGTTTGGATCGGAATTTTGCAATTGGCCCTGCTTTCTCTATAATGGTCCCCCTCTCTCTAATTGCTGAATCGGCCGCTGGTGCCTGTTTCTAACCCTGGATCTCCAAATGTTGGGCAGAAGGTTTGTAGTCCTGATCTGGAGATGCCTCTTAATTTTGCTGCTCATTTATTTTCACCTCTTATTTTACAGCATGATGGGGGAAAAAATTGAAGTGTAAAATTTATATATTTTTGTCTCCTTTTGGGACATCTCAATGTTTCTTCACATGGCCATAGTCCTTGGTGATGTTTTTCATCAGTAATTCAGCTATCTCCCTCTGATTGCAAGCTTCCTTGCCTGGCTGGCCCTAGGCTAACAGAAGAGTCTGAGATAGCAGTAGCAAGAACAACAGGTTTTATCTGCATTCCTTCCCCTCATATTTGCTAATTTATGGTGCTGCTTCACTTCACTTCACTTCAAGACAGGCTCCACCCCGTGTTGCCGAACTGGGAACAAAAGCCAATGCACCATGCACTATCATGTTCTGTTCAGTGAAACCAGGTGTTACGGAAAGTTCTTGAAATAAGAAAATATATTTTAATGTTCTTTTTGAGGGGTTCCTCAACTCCTCCATCACTAATAAGTCAATTTTATTGTAAATTTTTTCCTACCATTTCCTGAATTACACAGAATCTGTAAATAAATATCATCTCATGTGTTTTTGTCCCTTAGAAGAACACTATAAAGTATATTTTAAACTCCTCATTTCTACATTGAATGTAAGTTACTTGGGGGACCCTTTAATTTCCTGACTGTTCTAATTTGTTGATGCATTTGGTTCTACGTTTTGTAAGCTCATTCGCGTGAGAGAAGTTGCATGAATGTGAAAAGAGGATTTGGTCCTTAGTTTGTGGGATCAAGTATTTTGATGACCTCAAAATCCCATGGCCAGTGAAAGATAATTAAGTCTTTGTAGTTTCCTGTACAAATTCACTTTGTGTATAAATCTGACCATCGGCACTGTGTAAAGCTAAACTGTATACTGAAAAATGTCTTGTCAGGAAATGTTTTGCAGGTGGCTACAGTTATAATTCACTGAACACTGGAACTCCAACTCTGGTTTACATTGTTTAAGACCTCTGTATATTTGTTGAGGGAAAACTAAACAAAACAAAACCAGACTGTGAAATTGTGCAGAGCATTAGGGGCCCTTCTTAATAAAGACTTAAACTGAAGTTAAATTCTTAGATCTTTCTGTTGGTCACGATAAATATGCCTCATGCTCATGCCAGAACAGACAGGGTTTCTCTTACGCATGGTTCAGTATCTCACTATTGTTTTCTGCTGCTGCTAGGGCCAATCATAAGTACATCTGTAACTTTTTCAAGGCTTTCCTTGAATACAAAATAAAAAGAGCAAGACCCCTCTATGATTAACATCCCCTCATTGCATGGTTGTCAGGACCAGGATGTGGGTGGACTGACCTGATGGTTAGAACCAGAGCCCAACCTATTGGTTAGAGAAAGGGACAGGAGCCAGAGCCATGGACCAGATCTGGAGTAAGGAACCAGGAATCAAGCCACGGGTCACAGCTAGAGCCAGAAATCAGTACCTGGAGTCAGAAGCCAGGCAAGAGAGCAGGGCAGGGTGGAATGGAGCAGGACAAGGACAAGGCTGGAGAGGCTGGATACAAGGCAGAAGCAAGGCTGGGTACAGGGGCAATTGCAGATTTACTGCTGCTGCCACTGAGCTTAAGTGCAGACCCAGTGATGAGCTGCCAAAATCTTAACAATCGATTGCCTACCGGGTCTCCAGCGGCACTTCGGCGGCGGGTCCTTCAGTGCGGCCAAAGACCCAGAGCGAGTGAAGGACCCGCCGCCGAAGTGCTGCCGAAGACTCGGAGCGCTGCCCGGTGAGTACAGGCCCCACGTGTTCTATTACGTGTTTTTTTTTTTTTTTTTTTATTAATTCCTGCCGGGGCCTCGTTGAAACTGTTCGAATTGGGCCCCGCACTTCCTAAAGCCGGCCCTGCACATCGGGGTTGCAAAATTGTATCGGGGCCAGGTAGGGAGGGCTGTGCCTCCCAAAACAGCCTTTCCCCCCTCATCCGATCCCCCCCATATCCTGCCCCCGACTGCCCCCTCAGAACCCGCAAGGGCCGCAAGCAACCCATCAACCCCCCCTGCTCCTTGTCCCCTGACCACCCCCTCCCGAGACCCCCCACCCTAACTGCCCCCCAGGACCCCACCCCCTACCCAACTTGTCCCGCTCCCTGTCCCCTGACTGCCCCGACCCCATCCACCACCACCCCGACAGACCCTGGAACTCCCATGCTTACCCAACCCCCCTGTTCCCCATCCCCTGACTGCCCCCCCAGAACCTCCACCCCCTCCAACTGCTCCCTGCCCCTTATCCAACCCCTCCTCCCAGCCCCGGCCCAGCCCCCTTACCATGCTGCTCAAAGCGGCAGGAGCTGCAGAGCTGCCCAAGAACGGTCCAGATCGCTGGTGCCGGCCGCACGGCACGCTGAGGCTCTGCGAGAGGGGGGAAGGCGGGGGAGCCTCTCCATCCAGGAGCTCAGGCGAGCTGGACAGGACGGTCCCGCGGCCCGGAAGTGGCCCAAGGGCTGGAGTTTGCCCACCCCTTTAACAACCGGTTCTAAACCGGCTTCTAAATGTAACAACCGGTTCGTGTGAAGCGGTGTGAGCCGGCTCCAGCTCACCACTGGGGCTGGCCACTTGGGCAGGCCGGGCAAAAAGGCGATTCTGCTGCAGTCCATCTTGGCTCATTAACCTGCCCGAAGGCTGAACCATCTAACCCCAGGCTCAGCTGAGGAAATTCAACCCCATGGGTCCTGAGAATGATGGTGGCAGTGTTAGTGGTAGGGATCGTTTTCCATTACCGAACTTATTTTTCTTCTAGATAAAGTAGGTGTGGTAGGTCTCATGCTAGCGTTCGTGTAATAGTCTGATAAAAAGAGCTGATTGCTTGCTTCCGTGGGGTTTACGAATAATCTCTCATGAAATCTTATGTGTTAACATCCACATTTGGTAGGAAGTTTAAGAGATTAGATGTGTGTGTGTATGTGAAAAGATACAGTTGATTTCTGCATATTATGTAGCAAAATA